TGAATATTTTAAAAACCAGAATGATTGAAAACACAAAAGCAATTAAGCACTCTGATTTGCCCATGCATTTTTATTTTCTGTAACAACCTTTAAACAATTTTTATAGGAAGCATTACTTTCTATGGAACTCCTATATGAAATGATTTGTGTTAGATGACATTGCGAGCAAAAATGATGCCTTTTAAAATATAGCCAATAGACAGTTTCTCTTGTTTCAAGCGACTGAGATTTAAAATTTCCGGGAATGGCTGATGAGAATCTTTTCTATGCAGCCGGCTGATGAGGCAGCGGAAAGGTCCCCCTGGGGTGAGGCCTTTCGGGTCAGCCTCCCTCCTCTCATTAACCTTTAGACAATAATTGCAACTTCGGGACTTCCATTCCTTTATCTGTAATCTAGAAGACTGGGCAGAGCCTTTTCCTCAGTGAAATTGCATGATTTTGAAATTGTACTTTTGTAGTTTTGATATCACAGCTATTTTTATAGTAATTATATGTGCACTGGATGTGTATATGTACAAAGTAGAAACCCATGTACACTGTACACTAAATATATACATATGTAGAATCAGTGTATAAGGACTAGACACATTATATATATTCGAGATCATCGTATCCTCTTTATAACTGGCTCCTCTGTCATTATAACACTTTCCTCTTTTACTGTGGTAATTGTTTTTGTTCTAAATTCTACCAGGCCTGATTTTAATGTACTGTCTCTGGGCATCTTATGAATAATGTTGACATAATGTATCTCTTTTATCCTTTAAGATATCTTAAACAATGTGTTCATCTTACAAGTAGCTTTTGTGTAGAAAAATTACTCTTTTCCCCCTCATTGTGACAATTTCTGATTTGCTCCCTGAGTTTAAACCATTTATATGCAATACCCTTATCACCATCATTGAGCTGAAATATATTATCTGCTTTATGTTCTAGTTTTGCTTTTGTTCTTTGCTGCGGTTTCTGTTCTTTTTCTGCCTGTATTTGAGTTAATACTTTTAATATGCAGTTTTATCACTACTATTAGTTAGTAATTATATCTTTTTTCTTTTTGTCACTGCGCTTATATTTACAAAGTGTATCTTTTTAAAAACACATTTCAAATGAGTATAAAAATATAAATCAAAGACAAATAGTGCGATCTAAGCTTGATTTAACAATTAGGAAAGTTTCATTTATAAATCGCTCCTATTTACACTGTATTAGTTCTGAGGAAGATTTGTCGAATATTCTTGAATTATTACTCACCTTAGGAATTCAGAGGCCTTGAAGTGCACATTTGAACAAACTGGAAATTAGTTCAGCACTAAATACTCATTCTACTTAAATGATTTTATTAACAGGTGAACTTATTTTAATACTTCTAATTTTTATCAGATTAATTTTTTAAAGTGGCATTTTTCCACAGGTCTCTCCCAAACAACATTCATTTTATTTTAAGTAAAACTCCACAAAATTGTTCAGTAAATGTCTGACAACTTTCTCTGGGGCTGACAAAGAGGTAAGGGCTGGAACAAACATCAGAAACTATTTTGGACCCTGAACTCCACTGATTCCCGACCAAACCTGTGCTCAGGTGTGTCTAATTGAAAGCCAGAAGAGCAGAGCTGAGTGACAGAAAGACCAAGAATAGCCCACCTGAATTAAACTGGAACGCAGGCGGGTGACATGACGAGTCGGGATTAGAAGGCAGAATGAATGCTAGGCAAAGACTTTGCAGCCTTGTCGAGGATGTCCCTGAAATATTCTCTGTGGGACTGGTGGCAGTAGCCAGCCTCGTCCTAATGGAAGAGCAATGCATAAAAGCCATTAAAAAAAAGAAGAGGAGGAAGAAGAACAAAAGGCACAATTTAGCAGAAGATCTATGCTCAGTATGTAAAACCCAAGGAAAAATGTGGTCCTAACCACACGCTTCAAAAGGCAGCACATCAATCTGTGAATGAGGGGGAAAAGCAAATAATTCAGAGAGTAGTTTCTATCAATAGATGAAACAAATTCACAAGAAAAAAGAACTTCTTTTGCTCCTATTTCCATACGGAGTACAGTGGGGGAGAAACTTTAAAAAAATGGAATGCTTTTATCATTTATATACTAATAAGAAGCATTACCTCTAGCTGCTTAGGTCTTCATATTTTATTAAAAGGTATATTTTTATATTGAGCTAGGAGACAATATGTGTGAAATATTAATCAGATAGGTTTCTTCCTTTAGATGTGGATTAAACAAAACAAAAAGTAGGCTAACCTATATAGACTATCAAATCATTTATATAAATATTGGGTGTTTTTTTATGGGCATCATTAGTGACTTTATTTGTTATCTGGTAAAATATATCAGCCTCTAGGCAAGTGAAAAATGGATGCCTGTTGGGGACGGGTAGTGGAGGCTGCTTTCCAATGTAGCTGAATTGATTGTATACATCGTAAGAATCACTGGGCTGTGTGTGTGTTTTTCTTGGATGCAGCTCTTAGAAACTTTGTTTTCCATGACCTTGTGAATAATATTGACATAAGGTATCTTTTTTATCCTTTAAAATATTGCAAACAATGTGTTCAATATTGTTGACATATGGACATATATAAAATGTGTCCTTTACGAGAAGGGAATAACCCCCCTTTTGCAAGAGTCTGTGGTAGAACAAAGGAGACACCTCAGTGGTCATTCCCACCCAGTCAGTGGCCTGGCCCAGGGGCTGCAGACCAGGCCACAGGGACGGACTCAGGGTCCAGCCTTCCATAGGGACGGTCAGCCTAGATACAGAGGCACCGCTTGCTTTCAGACCAGGCTGGGGCCACAGGTAGGGAAGCATCAATTTGAGGAGTGGGCACAGTCCATTCACCTGGAAATTTCTAACTGGGCCACAGGCTTCTTGGCAGCAGCCTGCTCATTTATTTCCAGCTGCTCCCATTTCTGTATGAGTGGGGAGCAGGCATGGCCTCCCGTGGGTGGTCATAGCTGATGTGCCCCCACCCCCGCAGAAGTTCCTGGCCTAGCACCCACCATTCTAGGCCTGCTGAGTGAGGCCTCTCGTTTTGCAAGGGTCCAGTGCCTACCAGCACAATGGTGGGTGCAAAAAAATTGGCAGGGGGTACAAGCCCTGGGAGGTTGATGGGCTCTTCTGCCAGAAACCGTGGGCGGTCTTGGCTGCCTGAAGCCCTCGTGGGTCTGCTCGGTGGAGGCTGCAGAAAGTTTTAACTTAAATTATTTTGGTTTTATTCTGCTCTATTTATAAGCTAGCCTAAACCTCAGCGAAATACGAATAACTTCTGATTTCATATTATCACTGTAGCAGAGCTTCTACCCTCAACCCTGAGAATCACACAGTTCTTCCTTCAAGAGATGTTACAGTTTTGTTAGTAGCTAAACAGGGCTCCTAGTACCACCAATTTCTTATTGTTCCCACAGCATTTGCAGAGCTGGGGGAAAGGGTCATTTACAGATGTATTTGAAAAATAAGAATAATCTAATAAGTACAGAAATGAAGATGCAGTTTATATACAAATTAACATAATGATGCATACATCCATATGTAATTAAATAAATGCAAGTCAGAGTAGCATTATGCAATTTGGTAACCATTTACAAATATTAATAATTTCTGGTTCAGCCTTTGCGAAACAAAATTATTAGAATAAATAAAATACATGGAAGTTAAAATTTCATATTTCCTGAGCCATTGGCTTCACAGCTAGGAATATCTACTATTCATATACTGAAAGAAATGTTCAAAATATGTTCAGCAGTTATTAACCAAAAGCTTAAAATGATCTAATTATTTGATGAAATTCTATGCAAATATTCCACGTAGTTATTGCAAATAATTAATTAGAAGATTATAAAAGTAATACAAAATATTTCAGTGAAATAAGAAATGCATCTTTATTTCCTATTACAATTTTTTCCAAAGATGTTCAGAATGAGGATAAAAAAACACATGTGGATAATAATGTTTCTGTTCAATATTTTTTTCATTAATTCGCTCTTACAAGATGGAGAATAAAATTTAAGATTGAGAATTTTTTTAATTCACTCACATCACTTGCTAATTACTGTTTTAACAGATATGTATTTCAGACACTAAACTAGATAACTGCTTATTAAAGAAAAATTGAGCCTTCTGTTTATTTTAGCTGAAATTTTTATAGTTTCCCATCTAGCACAATGGTACTGATGTAAAAATTAAAGCACAAAAAGGCAATCTTCCCTAGAATAATTGAATAAGAACCACTCCTTCTGGGTACATATCAAGCAACCAGAGATTCTGGGCACATGTAGCCATGTGACAATATGCGCGTTTGTCAGTGGAGGTCAAAGCTATATTGTTGTTCCCCTGGCCCTTTGGCCAGCCCCATTATGGAAGGGATGCCCTGGCAACCTTACTCAGGAAAGTTAAAACTCGGAAAATACATTGCTGAAAATAGAAATGTACGATGGGTCAAAAACCAAGCTCTGTGTACTGAGTAAAACAAAGCAGCAAGAAGAGTTTATTGCAAGGATTTTGACGGGCAAACCAGGAACGTGAAGCCTATGGGAGCAATGAGTTCCCACTTGCTTGCAGACTAAGGCACTTTATGGGATAAACGCAGAGGTTATTTGGCTCTTCAGCTGATTGGTTGCCCAGGGGTCTTTGTTCTTATTTGGATCAGAGAAGTTGAGTCAGGGGAACAAGGAAGTTTAGACGTGGTATCTGAGGATTGGCTGGTGACCTCTGCTGATTTCTGAGAACGCCGTAAATTCCTGTAAAGTGACAGTATATTCCTGTAAAGTCAGGTTAAGTTTCCTTTAGGTACCTGCATCGACTGTTTCCATTTTGTCTCTGACGTAAGTGACTCCATTTTAGTTTGGTTCTACAGATAGAACTAATTTAATTTTCTATTTTCTCTATAACCTAATTTGTACATGTTGAAATGGACAAATGCATCTGTATGGCAACTGAAAACTCATTAGGAAATCTTCTGGACCACTTAGAGTCTTAAAATCTTTTTTGCTCTTACTTGCAGATGGGCCTGTGGAGAAAAAGATCTCCATCATAAAAATCAACAGATACTTTCCTGATGTTTAACAGAAGGTAAGCCATTCTTCATTTGAGATTGTGACCACAGCAGAGTATAGTATGCTGTTATGGACAGCTCATTTATAGCTCAAGAGCAAACTGAGGGTGTAGAATGTACATTCTACAAACTTTGGGATAGTTGTAATGCAGCCAGAATCAGACAAGAACTTCGACTATCCTTTTGCAATTTTGAACACGAACTGCTGGGGAAGCATATTTTGGGGTAAAAATGACTCTCAACCCTATTTCCTTCTCTTCTGTTGCTTTATTCCATGGGACCTGAATTTGATACTTGGACAAGTTTAGTTGGGTGTGGAGAAAATAAGTGTTAGCAAATCTGGGACCATATGCCTGATGTTCTGCAAAGAATCCACAAAGCATTCAGTATGAAGCAAGGAGAGAGTTGATTTCTTGTGGTAGCCAAATGGGAGAATGGGAGAAACCCCAATGCACCTCCCTGAATACAGGTTGTAGCAAAATTTTAAGAGTAAGATGAGGAGGGGTTAACCATATTCATCGATTCTGATACATAGGGACTGAACTGATAGTCTTGGAACTATGCCAGCCAAGGTAAGGAACCTGCAAGAGGCCAGGGAGAAACAGAGTCATTTCATTCTGGCAGAGTTTGGTCAGTCATTTCTGTGCCTTTCTTTGGTCTGGGCACTGGATCTTCCTTATTAACAATGTCCTACTTTTTAATGGACTCCAAGTCTGTTACTTGAATTCTGTGAATCTTGGTTCCATGGTGCTCAGGAGGTCAGCTTGGGTCACCTGGCTGCTCACTTCAGGGACTCAGGTGAGCCAGATGAGCTTCAGCTCATGCAAGCAGCTCAGCTCAGCACTAGAGAACTCTTTTTTCTGGAGGGTGCTGACCACAACTTCGTTCGCAGGCAACTTCATAAGAAGGGCTGAAAATCACCTCCTTTAAACAGTGTTTAACTTTGCTGATTTCTTTTCCACATTCTTTAGATAAGTTTTCTACAGGCTTTTATAACAAAAAACCTTTTCTTCTATGTTATTTTGATTAAAGGTTACTAATACCATTGAAGAATTGAAAAGTCAGTAACAGCCAGAGGTAAACTGAATACGATGCCACACTAACTTATGCTCCTTTGGTATCAGGATTATTTTGAGCTGAATATTTTTAAGAAACAGTAGACATAGGAAGAGCACTAGGAATGAGTAAGATGCCTTTTGTAAGAAACATAGGCATTTGTAAGGAAAATCCCTATTTTGTAAGGGTGTCTCCCGCTCTGTCCCAGGAACCGGGGGATGATTCAGACTTTCTAGAAACACTTCATCAGTGCAGAGCCAAGGACTTAAATCTGCTTCACAACCATACCCTGGGTACTGTGCTTTTCTGACAGCCTCCTTCAATCCCTATTGTTGTCTTTATTTCTATTTTTGGGGTTATTACGGTAATGGCTTGCACTCTTTCAGGATCACTCAGATTCCCTGGGTGTCTGCTTGTGTATAGGAGGTATCCACACCAGGACACTGCTGGTTTGCTCTTGGTGACCTGCCCTTTATCATGGGGGTGTCTTAGCCAAAGGCATAGGCAGGTAATGAGAAATTATTTCCCTCTCCTATACAGCACTAGGTCAAAAAGATTGCTTAAAAAGAGAAGGAAATCAGCCACTTTTGTTTCATCAGTAAAGAGATCTTATTTCAGAAATCATGTTTTGCATGTATATCTGTAATCAGCATTTTTTTAAACCTGTAGTCTTTAATGAACCTATGATAATGAACCTATCTAGTGATCTAAGCTGCCAGAAGAAGTAAATGGTAAACAAGCTTCCTTGGCTGGCTTGTTTCTTTGACAACTTATTCAGAGGTTTGGCATTTTGCCTTTGTTTTAGATTTATTTTTCTAGCTATTGAATGCTTTGAATTTTGGCACTCTTCATTATTTTTAAATAACATTCACAAACAATTTATCCAATGGCACTTATGTTACATTTTTCATTCTTTTACAATTAATATATATAAGATCAATATTTGAAAATAGTCTTAAGGGTATCTCTTTATAAAATGGTGCTGTTTATATACTAAAAGTCTGTAAAACTAAATTTCATGAGATGACAGAGGCTGATGCAACACTAATTAGAATTTAAATTTTTAAAAGAAAATTGAGTAACTACAGTTCAACACAAAAGGAGAAGTGAGTTGAATTTAAAGGAACCAAAGACTTTGATAATTCTGTGTGCTAATCCAATTTTCTAGATGGGAAAAAGCTTCAAACGCACAGCTGATAAAGACTTTGGATTAAAAACTACCCATAATCTGTAAGTGTACATGCATAAAAATATTAATAAAGAAACCAAAGTAAGAATATCTTCATTTTAAAATATCTTTCTTTACTAAAGTTATAATATGCCTGAAAAATGAGTAGTTCCTTTCTTGTTTTGTTTTTTTAAAGAGTATCTTCCCTAAATTTAAAAGTTCTAGACTTTCAAATTTTATTTAGGAAGCAGTAATTTAAACACACACATACACACAAGCACTTGAAGTATCAAAATAAAATAAAAATCTACTGCATGCCTATAATAAAAAAGGAACTCTTACCCTATTTAACAGCATGGATGGACCTGAAGAGTATTATACTAAGCAAAATAAGCCAGTCAGAGAAGGACAAATACCATATGATCTTACCCATACGTGGAATCTAATGAACAGAATAAACCAATGAGCACAATGAAACCAGACACATGGCCAAATGGAACGGACCGGCAGATCTCAGAGTTAGGGGGACCGGAAGAGATTAACCAAATAACATGTGTACATATATGTACAGCTCATGGACACAGACAACATCGCGGTGAAGGTGGGGGGTGGGGGGATGGGGGTAAAGCAGGGGGGAAATGGGAGTCATCTGTAATAAGGTCAATAATAAAAAATAGTTCTAACTTACTCTTGTATAGTCTCACTTAAAAATAAATTTAAATCTAAAATGAACACTCATTAAGCACTTAACGTGTTCTAAATAATCATAGTAATTGACTCACATGGTAAATTTCCTAACATGGCTACTACTACAACATTCATATTAAAAATGAGGAATCTTAGGTAAAAGGAGGTTAAGGAATTTCCTAGGATTACATAGTAAACAAATGGCCCCATCCAAAACCTCGAGAGATGGTATTCCAGCCACCATGCTATTCTGTTGTAACCATTGTCTAGTATTACTTGTTGGTATAGTACAGCAGGGATTTTTTTGCACACAGGCATGTATTGACAAAAACATCTTTGACATGAATTTCCCATTTTCATTTTAATCAACTATTAAACATTGCATACTGCCACAAGGCAAACTGCTGAAACTCTTCAAATTTGTGTTTCATTATTTCCCAATAGAATCAGCTACAGCAGGTCCTCAAATATCATCATTGCTTTCAAGGTCGTTTTGTTGTAACGGTGATGAGATGCCATAGGGACCTAACCCTTATTTGTATGAGTTAGTCTGTGGTGAAACTGCTGTCGCACATCTTCCACTCCAAATCACAGAACCCATCGACCATGTTAAGGGAGACCTTCCTGTGTGTAAGAAACCCAAAAACAAAAAAGCACTGGCTAAATTTCCCTGTGTATTGTTATGGAGTCTTTCCATATGTTGCTGTGGACTCGAATAGCACAGACGAATGTCGAATTTTTGGTGACCTCGTGGGAGGAAGAAAGAAAATGTCTTCGCTTTTCTGGCAGCGTATGTAGGTGATGGAAACACATTCTGAACACGTGGGCTTTATGGGTCTTTGGTGGTGCGGACCCCCGTGTGCAAGGGAGCCTGAACCTCCCTAGAGGAATAAACCTATGGTAATAAATATTTTCTTTCCCTCCCTACCACTTGATGACCTCCCATTATATGATTCAGTGTTTTCTCATATTTTGTCCCATCTAGGGACATTGTCTCTGAGCTCCTATGTGGGACACACAGTTTCTGGGGGGGGGGTGGTCATTTTTGGTCTAAAGTATTACTTGGAATACTTTACCTAAAGCTAGCTCTAAAGCTAATATTTTTACACTTGTGGCAGAATTTTGATATGAATTTTTTTATTTGTTCCTTTTGATGCTCTTATAAACACTTTCAATGAAGAAAACTAAGAGGTTAGGTCATGGCTAAGTGCCTCAATGTTAGTAACTACATAGAAAACAACCAAGGCTTTGACAGTTTCTAACCTCTGACCTCTCTGCCCAGTGCTCTGGGGGTCCCAGGACGAAGCTGAGAGGACTCAGTTGAAAACTGAGTTGCTACCATACGCTATGTCTGGTGGTATTAACACGGAAAAGGTACAGGGTCCAGCGGAATAAGGCTTGCTTGAGTGTGGTTGTAGGGTAATCACATGGGTGTAATAATTTACAGTTTTAATTTGAACATTGCACCTAGAATGTCATATGGTGTGCTTGAGTGTGATATTGTTATGTTACACAATTACATGCTTATGATTTTGTACTAAAACATTTTGTAAGAAAATGGGGCGTTATTTGTGCCAGACCCTGTGTGTGCCATTGCCGGCCATGTACTTAGGAGTCTTCGTATTCACCTGCACTTCCCATAGAGAGCACAGCCCAAGCCAGTGTACAGTCATGATACAAGTGGCCTTCAGGGTCATGAAAGGGTTCCCAGCCCCAAATATTTTCATTAAGGGTGCTCTGCCGGCACTGAAATTAAAGTCATTGTTTGCAGGGTTGAAGATTTGTATGTCTTTGAGAGCTTCCCATGTCCCCATGTGTTCAAAACACATCACTAATTGTTGAGCAAACAGCTAGGACTTCAGTATGTGTGATGGGAGATGGACACCTAGTGGATTATAGAGGACTCCAGGAAAATGGAAGACAAGGCATGGCTTAGTTCGGAGGAGGGCAGGGGATAGAGCCCCAGTTTTCACACTTTTACTTAGTGCTGGATTAGGTGCCAGTCTTACCTCCTCTCTGACTATTTATTCTCAGCAGAGAATAATATCAGTCACTTTTAGAGACTTACATACTTCCTTCACTCTCTAACTCACGATCAGTACCAGA